TGCAATGAATATCAGAGTATTAATGAGCATGTGAGTTTGCCGTCCATTTTGGTTGTTTTCACTTCAGTTGAAAAGATGAGGGGTTGAAACTATTATATTATAAGTTGAGGAGCTAATTGTTTTATAATCAGTAAGGTGGAGGGTTGGCAATGCATTTTTGCCGAAAGAAAAAAATTAAAAGTTGGTGACATGTCATATTCAATTCCCCATTTAAAGTTGTCAGCAACTTGCAGTATGTACTGAAACGAGCACAATAGGGTCTGCATCAGTCATATGAATTAAAAATTTTGGAAACCTATAGCTACACCATTATTTCTTCCAGCATTCCAAGTTATTATTCCAAAAAAAAAAAAAAAAAAAAAACTCACCCGTTGCTGCCTTGGGCTGGAACTGTGAAGGGGAGCTGATAGACTTTTTTTTTTTTTTTTGGCAGAAGGAGCTGACAGATTTAGACATAGATAAATTTGACGAAGTTTGCAAAGTTGTGCAATTTGCATCACTGGTTACTATTCAAGGAGGAGCAAATTAAGCCCTTGTAACAAGTTTATGAGATGTTGACACAAAAGAAAAAAATAGTCAATAGAATATCATTTAACGTGGTGCTGACTAGTCCATAGATAAGTTAACTGTCCAGCACTTACTGATCCAATTGACACTTTTTTACGAAACGTGCTTAAAATTAAAAAACTTGAAACCAAATATGAAGTTTCCTTCTCCCTTTTTTTTTCTCGAAAAAATTTCACGCGGTTAAAAAAAAATAAACAACCTAACTAACAAATTGTTGGAAATTGCACCTTATCACAACGAGGCAGTCTGTTTCAATTATAAAGGCTGCTTTTTGAGTGGTTGCTCGGTGGAAGAAAAAGGCGAAAGTACATGGCCAACCCTTGACTTTACTGATTATAAAATTGTCAGTCTCTCTAATTTGTAATATTAAACTTTTAGCTTTTCATCTTTTTGGCCCAAATGAAAACATCCAAAATGGACGGCAAATTCACATGTTCGTTAAAATCATGTTATTCATTGCCATGTCAGTGCCAATGTGGCAATTTATTGACAGCATGGATTGCCACTATGGATGATAATTTCGATGGGAGTGGGAAAACTCATGTTTACTCCTAAAATGAGTCCATATCCATCTATCTAAAAATTAAAAAATAAAAAGAAAATAATTAAAGAATAATTTTTATATTACTTTCTATACAACTTTACGTGTTATTTAAATAATTAAATCTTTTTATTTATTTAGAATTTGTAATATTAAGTGCATTTATTTATTTAATAAAATACAAAAATTATATAAAAAGATTGTATAAAAAAGTTGTTTATATATCACTGTTAAAATCACTTGTGGGAGGCCTTCTAGTTCTTGTTGTCCTTTCTATATATTTTTATTTTTGATAGGGGATATAGAAACAATTTTTTTATATAATCTTGTTATATAATTTTCACATGTTATTAAATAAATAAATGTACTCAATATTATGGGTCTCGAATAAATAAAAAAAATTAATTATTTAAATGACA